GGAATAAATAGTAAGGAGGGGTGGGGCTGGGGCAGGTAGGTGGGATGGCGATAGGTGAGTGCAGGTAGGCAGTAGTGGGGATTGGTCAGTGAGATGGGAGGAGCGGATAGGTGGGAGAGAAGACGGATAGGTCAAAGAGGGATGAGAAGGAGGGTTGGTGATGGGATGAGGCTGGGGGTGGGGAGATTTTGAAGCTAGTAAAGTCCACATTGAGACCATGGGTTGTAGGCTCCCAAGGCAGAATATAAGGTGCTGCTCCTCCAGTTTCTGGGTGGTGTCCTTGTGACACGGGAGGAGGCCCAGGATGGACATATCATCCAGGGAGTGGGAGTGGGAGGGGGAGTTGAAGTGGTTTGCGATGGAAGGTGTTGCCATTTGTTGCAAACCGAGCGCAGGTGCTCTACAAAGTGGTCTCCGAGCCTCCGCTTGGTCTCACTAATGTAGAGGAGGCCACATCGGGAGCAGCGGATGCAATAGGCCACATTAGCGGATGTGCAGGTGAACATCTGTCTGATGTGGAAGGTTTTGTTTGAGTCCTCAGGTGGAGGTGAGTTGGGAGCTGCACTTCTTCCGGTTGCAGGGAAAGGTACCGGGGGTGGTGGGGCTAGTGGAGAGTGTGGAGTGGACGAGGGAGTTGCAGAGAGAGTGGTCCCTACAGAAGGCAGATAGGGATGGTGATGGAAATATATCCTTCATTGTGGAGTCAGATTGCAGGTGGCAGAAGTGGTGGAGAATGATGCATTGAATCTGGAGATTAGTGGGGTGATACATGAGGACAAGGGGTTTCTGTCTTTGTTTTTGTTGCGGCGAGGGGATGTGAGAGCAGAGGTGCGGGAAACGCAAGAGATGCGGTCAAGAGCGTTTTCGACCACTGAAGGGGGAAAGTTACTACCTTCAAAACCTCCCCACCCCAGCCTCATCCCATGACCAACCCTCCCTCTCATCCCCACCTCCCTGACCTGTCCGTCTTCTCTCCTACCTATCCCCCTCTCATCTCTGCCTCCTTTTCCTGTCCAACTTCTCCCCCACCTATCCGCCCCTCCCACCTCACTGACCAATCCCCACCATTGCCTTCCTGCACTCACCTATCATCGTCCCACCTATCTTCCCCAGCCCCATCCTTCCTCTCTATTTATTTCAGAGCCCCTATCCCCCTCCCCCATTTCTGAAGAAGGGTCCTGACCCGAAACGTCAGCTTTCCTGCCCATCTGATGCTGCTTGGCCTGCTGTGTTCCTCCAGCTCCACATGAAGTAAAATGGTCTGTGGCTAAGGGAAAAGATTTTGGAGATCAATGTAACTGGAAATGCCCCAGGAAATTCAAAATCCTGCCCAAACCACACCTGTTTTTAAAAAAATGGTGGAAGTACTCAGCAGGTCAAGCAGCATCTGTAGATGAAAAACAGCATTAATGTTTCAGGTCAACATGACCCTTTATCAGTCCAGGAGGCCTGTGTTCACTTCTGGGCACCATACCTGAGGAAGGATATGCCATACTGGCTCTTGGATCAGAGCAGTGAGATGAACCCCAATGATATATGGATTCTGAGGGATAAATTATGATACACAGACATTATAGCACAGAATGAAGGCATTCAGCCCTTGAAGTCTCCGTAGCACAATCCAGACTGTCACATTCCCCTGCCCAGTTAACAATGTCCTGCAAAGTTATTTCTTTGGGTAAATATACAATATCCTTGATAAATCATTGACTTTCTCTGAGACCACCTTCTCTTAGAAAGTGAGTTCTGGTATTCCCACGTGTTGTGTCTTTAAAAAAATGTCCTCACATTTTCCACCACCCCCCCATGTCTTTTCCCAAAAGCCTTGTATCTGTTTTCCATAATCTTTACCCATCACATAACAGTCATAATGTTTTCTTGTCTACCTCATATAAACCTGTCAAAACCGTACAGACCTAAAGTGTGCTAACCAGAACTGGACTCTAGGTGTGTTCTAAACAGTGCTTTATAGAAGGTCTGTATCCTCTTCCTTTGTCCTCAATACCTCTATTTATGACAAAATATATATTTTGCTAACTGCTCTCTCAAAATTTCCTGCCACCTTCAAAAATCTACACACATCAATCTCCAGGTCCCTGCGTCCTTGCACACTCTTTATATCTCTGCTTGATATATATATTTCCTCTCATTATCTTTTTCTGAACATGTATAATATCATAGTAAGCTCCAAAGGTGAATCCTATTCAACTCAATGAATGAACTGTTCTCTTTGCTGAGTTCTTTACAACATTTTAAGTTTTTAAAAACTGAACCAACTGTGGATGCTGTAAATCAGAAACAAAAACAGAAATTGCCAGATATGCTCAGCAGGTTTGGCAGCATCTGTGAAGAGAAATCAGAGTCACCGTTTCGGGTCTGGTGACCCTTCCTCAGAAGAACCCGAAACGGTGACTTGGATTTCTCTTCACAGATGCTGTCAGACCCGCTGAGCTTTTAAGTTTTTATTTCAGTTGAAGGTTGATTTCCCTGGATTTTAAAGCTTTCAGTATATTAATTGGTACTGCAATATTAGAATGAAACTGTCTTCACTATGATTCCACCAATCCTCATTTAAAAAAAAACTCCTTGACCCCACTAGCCATGCAAACTAGCCCACCTTCTCTGACCTCCTCTTGCCCTCAAAAGTCCAGGAATTTGATGACTCCCCCCAGGAGTTATCACCTGCATCTACTATTTCTTATTAATGCACTGCTGTAAGGTAACATCATCCTAAAGCATGACGATGACTCTCATATGTACATTGACAAAGTCCAGCTTTATTCACCACTATCCTCTCCATTTTCCATTTCCGATGTCAGATAAGCAGCCTAATGATTTAGCAATGTTGACTAAAGATAAATTCTCTCCATTATAACTTGGAAGACCAAGGCTATTTGATAGATATTAAATAAAAAAATTCCCTCACAACAGAGTCCAGCGTTTCCCTGTAAACCATGTGCGGCTGGCCCTGTGATCAGTGTGGTAGGAGGATGCACTGAATATCCTCTATCACGGGGAGCAGCTAAATGGCCTGTCCAGGATGTGAACTCCTATGTTCTCAGAGTCACTGACTCACTGGACCATGCCCCACAGAGAGAAAGAGAGCAGTCTCTTGTGAGTGTGAGGGAGCTGGTGCTCCACTAGTTGCAGTGACTCCATGAATCTCTTCTCACATGTGGTCTCAGACATAATGGTCAACAATTTATCAAGTACGTTGTATATCTACCCGAAGAAATAACTTTGCAGGACATTGTCAATTGGGCAGGGGAATGTGACAGTCTGGATTGTGCTATAGAGACTTCAAGGGCCGAATGCCTTCATTCTGTGCTATAATGTCTTCTTCCTATTGTGAGTTCACTGGTGCATCAGCATGTTTACCAGATGTGTCAATTTCAACAGGAGGAGAACAGTCTCTCACCACTATGCTCACTGGTGTCCAAGAAATTCATCAGGATGTTGCCTGGGGTGAAGAGAGGTTGGATAGACTGGCATTCTTTTTTTGTTCAAGCAGAGAAGGCTGAAGGGAGGTCTGACGGAAGTGTACAAAGTTCTGAGGGGCCTATTCAGGTTAGAGATGGAGAAACATTTCCACTTTGTAGAGGGGCCAATAACCAAGGGCACAGTCTTAAGGTAAGGAGTAGGAGGATAAGAAGTTTAAGGAAAATGTCTTTTTTTCCCTCAGAGGTATCTGAAACTCATTGCCCAGAAGAGTGGTTGAGACAGCAACCCTCAAGACATTTAAGAATTATTTAGATAAGCATATGAAACATTCGATTCCACCCTTGGGTGACTGTCTGTGCGGAGTTTATACATTCTCCCGGTGTCTGTGTGGGTTTCGGTTTCCTCCCACAGTCCAAAGATATGCAGGCTAGGTGGATTGGCCATGCTAAATCGTCCGTAGTGTTCAGGGATGTGTAGATGGATCATAGGGGGATGCTCTGAGGGTCGGTGTGGACTTGTTGGGCCGAAGGGCCTGTTTCCACATTACGGATTCTATGAAAATGGGATTAGAATAGAACTTTTCTGAAGAAGGGTCCAGACCCGAAACGTCAGCTTTCCTGCTCGTCTGATGCTGTGTTCATCCAGCTCTACACTTTGTTATCTTAGAATAGACAGATGTTTGACTTGCGCGGACGCAGTGTTTCGAAGGGTTTCTATCTGTGTTGCAAAAACTCTATGACTCTCACCAGTTTCCAGCTGAGAGAATGTGTGAGGGTCCCAATCACACCGATGTTTGAAATCTCTTCCCACAGGGAAAAAAGGCAAAGATTTCTCCTTCCATATAGAAAGGCCGCTGATGTGATGAAGTTCGTTCCGAATCCAGTGGCTTGTCAGGTTTAGACATGATAGTTTCCTGTATGTTAGTCCTCCCCTTAAGATAGCATTTAGAAAAGTCCTTACTATAGAGGCAGGATAGAAATTCAGAACAGACTATTCTATTTTCTCTGCAACATTATTTCCCCAAAGCTGTCACTTCCAATCGTTATCGCTTGAGAAAACCCTTGACCCTGTCCAGGACTAGTCCCGCCCACATTCTCTCCGATTGGTTGGAAGACGAATTACACCTCAGGTCCTCCGGTCCCGTTCCCTCTTCCTATTGGCCTGGATATGCTGTCAATTCATCGGGTCCCGTCATGCGCAGTGCTGGCCTTGGGGCTGGGCTTGTGGAAAAGTCTGAAACGCGATGGTTGTTGTTGGGTTGCGAGGGAGGGATGGTGTCAACGGGTGGTTTGGGATCCTTCGTAGTAACATCACGACTTTAAACTCCAAGCGGTAGGACATCTGAGTCAGCGGTAGCTGCTTGGGTATTTTTTTTCCGACTCAAGGCCCGGGTGAACAACGACCATCTTTATGGCGCAGGGCGCATGCGTAGCGTTGAGCTGGGAATCAGCCCCGCCCTCTTTGTGCAGTCTGATTGGAGAAGCATCTACCAATTATGGACTTGGGCCTCCACCACTCTTGATCCAATTGGTGTAGAGGTTCCGTCTTTCATACACCAGGCGTGCGGTGATGGCTGGGAAGAGGAAACCGGCACAGGCCATTCTGCCCATTAAGGCCGCTGCGGTCCTCAGCATTATCGTGGCTGATTTTCTATATAGTTACCATACATCCGCTCTTCCCATGCTCCTGGATACCTCCTCCCGCCTAAAAAGTCATTTCAGAAGTGTGTTCGGTGACTCCATGGTCTTCTGTGGTGGCAATTCGACAGGTTCACCACCATCTGAGTGAAGATATTTTTCTTCATCTCGTCCAAAATGACCTGTCGTGTAGCCTGAGACTGAGACTTCTTGGGCTGAACCCCCGGGTCACGTTAGAACTGATCCCTACATGCAGTCTGCCCAAGCTTGTCAGAGTTTTATATGATTCAATGAAATGCCCTCCCTACCAGAGTACAGGCTTTGTACGTGACAGTGGGAAATCACTTATTTTCACCTCTGCAGCCAATAGAGAGGGCGATGAAATTGGCAGCTGGCGAAATCAGGTACACTTTGTGGAGCTGCACATCCTAATTCAGAATAGACAGTTGCTCGTTTACAACCACGACTCTTCACCCTCCCTCCTGGAAACAGGTCCAGGGGAATGATTCACATCTTCGTTCAGCGAGTGGAGGATGGTTTACATCAGACAATAGGGTGTTGGGGGCCAGTAAGTAAGATGATACACTTTAGAGGAAGAGTACAATGAAGGTCTGAGCACTGGTGAGGAAAGAAACCCTAGGAGGTGGGTGGGGAGGATACCCCCACAAGTCTCAAATCAGACTCATTGATTTTATTCTCAGGCTGCAGATGAACTGGGGAAGGGAACCACATAGAGGAAAGGGATTGAAAAATCTGAGAGTTGAGTACACAAATGGCGGAGATGGATTTCAGCAGGGAGGAGGGAGAGTGAATGGAACAGGGATTTACAGCTTCCTTTACAGTTCAAACACATTCTCTTTTACTCTTTTTCAAATCAATTTCACAGGTTATTGGAAGAAGAGGATTTTCAGCCAGAAAACCCAAAACAACCATCACTTAATTGACAGAATCACTCATTTCACTATAAGCTGACTTCGGTAGGATTTTGAACATGGAATCAAACAGCACCATTCAGAAGAGTGAGAAACCGTACACATGTGTGTGTGGCCGAGGCTTCAGCCATTCATCTGGCCTGTCTAGACACAAGCGCAGTCACGACGTGGGGAAACCATGGAAATGTGCGGACTGTGGAAAGGAATTCAATTACCCATCAGAGCTGGAAATTCATCATCGCAGTCACACTGGTGAGAGACCGTTCACATGCTCTGCCTGTGGGAAGGGGTTCACTGCATTATTCGGCCTCCAGTCACACCAGCGAATTCACACTGAGGAGAAGCCATTCATTTGCACCTTCTGTGGAAAGAGGTTCAGGCAATCATCTGCCCTTACTGTACACCAGCGAGGTCACACTGGGGAGAGGCCCTTCACCTGTTCTGTGTGTGGGAAAGGATTTACTCATTCATCTGTACTACTGAAACACCAACGAGTTCATACCGGAGAGAGACCATTCACCTGCTCTGAATGTGGGAAGGGATTTGCTCAGTCATCCCAGCTGCTGACTCATCAGCGCATTCACACTGGAGAGAGACCATTCACCTGCTCCCTCTGTGGGAAGGGTTTCACTCAGTTAGCCAATCTGTTGACACATGAGAGAGTTCACAAGTGATTACAGGAATTGGATTCTTTTGTTATTATTGCTGGTAATCACTTCCAGGACTGAATTATGTTCATTATGACAATTGGGGTTTGTTTCTGCTGATGATAAACCCTGTAATTAGGCTGGAGGTTAATATTTTGCATGCATAGATGATTGTCTTCCTAAGATGCAATGTTCCTTTAAAAATCACTGTCTTCTGATCTTTCCCCATAATTCATGGCCTTTCGTCAGAAAGATTTTACAACAATGTTATGAACTTTTACTTCAACCCTAAATTGATTTTTAGTGTGAATATTATAATTCAGTGCCTGAAAGGTTTCACTGATTAACATCTCTAATGAGCACATGCTGATGAATCCTTGCTGATAATTCTGACTGACTTGCATGTTCCACACAGCGGCCTTTCCATTATCCACCAGAAAGAAAGGGAATGGGAATTGCTGGAGAATCAAGAGTATCCATAAGAACTTAACACTAGAAATAGGATCAAAACGTGGACATTCAGCTCTTCAAGCCTGCTCTGCCATTCAATACAATTATAATTTTCTACTTCATTTTTCTGCGCTATCCCCATTTCCCTGGATGTCTTTAATATGCAGTAATCCATAGATCTCAGTCTTGAACACACTCAATGAGTGAGTTTCCACAGCACTTTGAGGCAGTGAATTCCAAAGATTTGCCATTCTGAGTGAAGATATTCCTCCTCATCTCCATCCTTCATGGCGTGTGCCTTATTCTGTGTTCCCTGGTTCTATTGTAGGCCTTGAACCAAGACAACCATGCTGTACGATTCTGACTTTAATTTTGACCTTGATAATGATAAATATTAAGATGATTTTACAATCCATGTATAAACCAACTAGGTTGGTAAAGGTTAAAACAGGCTGCCAAGAGACTAGAAAGAGATTTAACAGTGATCCACATTGGCTTCAACCTAATCCCACACTCTGTCTCATGGAGTAACTATTCAGAGGAGACACTGCCATCAACTGTAGAGATCAACATTCCGCATTGCGTGTCCGTTCCCTGGGATCAGTAAACTATCCTCATCTGTCATGGTTCGTATGTTTTTTTTCCTGTCTATTTAACTCCTGTGTCATATCTAAACTGTTGTTCTTAATAAATCTGTTTGAAATCACTCATGAGTTCTATCCCCTTTTAAAGTAATCTGATACTCCTGGACGTTAAGTTTGCAAAAGGTTTAAAACTGAGATCATGGTGGTGGAGATCAGAGGCTTGAGAAAGAACAGTCTCAGTTACACACAGGTGGAGAAATTCCTAAGTGAGGTCAGGAGTGTACCACGACATTGACACATTATGGGAAAGACTGACGGACAGCCTGAGGGAGAAAATAGGCACGCAGCAGGGCAGAGATATCCTGAGGATAATAGAAGAACTTGACAGGGATTATGAGTATTCATGATAGGCTGTGTAATGAAGTGCACAAAGGCAAAATGAATTTGAAAAAAGTGCAGATTCGTTGTCCCATGGCACATGTGAGTATGTTTCACAACTGAATAGAAAATACAGGGAGATAAGTTGTAAAAAGAACGTTATGGTTGGCAGAACAACATTTCTGTCATGAGCAATCAGTTACCCTGAGAATGGAAGCATATGACAGAGGGAATTATACAGGTTTTAAAAAAAGAGCAAACACTGGGAAAAAATATTATCAACAGAGAATACCAGACTGTGCGAGTAGTTAGGAGAGGTAAAAGGTAAGATCCCTTGAAGCAGAACACCCCCTGAATTTTGTTCCAATTCAACAACTTCAGAAATATCAGCCAGCAGGCACTGTCTCCAAAACAAGTGCAGGTAACCTATGGCCTTGTTAGGACAATGTAGTACAATCAGCTCCCCTCTCCTGTGTAATCAGGAAATACCTGTGTGTGTGTGTGTACATGTGTCAGAGGACAAGTCACCACTTTGACCTTGTGTATATTTGTTATGGTCCGTATAGAGTCATATAGCACAACAACAGACTCTTTGGTCTAACTAGTCCATGCCAAACATAATCCCAAACTAAACTAGTCCCGACTGCCTGCTCCTGGCCCTTATCCCTCCAAACATTTCTTATCCATGTACTTATCCAAATGTCTTTTCCATGTTGTAACTGTATCCACATCCACCACTTCCTCTGGAAGTTCATTACGCACCTGAAAAATTGCCCCTCATGTCTTCTTTAAAATCTTTCTCCTCTTACCTTAAAAATGCACTCGAGTCTTGAAATCCCTCATCCTAGGGAAAAGACACCTGCCATTCACCTTATCTATACCTTCCATGATTTTATAAGCCTTATGGGAAGAATGAGCTGGAAATCAAGCCCCACTATTCCATGAATTTGTCACAGGTGTGAAATATGACTGATTTAATCATGAGGATGGTTAATGCCCAACTAAAACTAGTCCCACTTGCCTGCGTTTGGCCCATATTCCTCCAAACTTTTACAATTTATGTACCAAATGTCTTTTAAATGTTATAACTGTACCCGCATCTACCACTTCCTCTGGTAGTTCATTGCGCTTACGAACCACCCTCTGTGTGAAAAAGTTGCCCTTAGGTCTCTTTTATATCTTTCCCCTCTCACCTTAGAAATAAGCCCCCTAGTTTTGAACTCTCCCAACCGAGGCTCCTTGAAGGTTCATCGTTACTGAAATTCTAGACCCTTTCAGATTAATTTTTAAGATAACAAGTCTCATTGGTTACTTTTGACGGCAGTCAAATGTGCAAGAGAAGTCACATAGCCTTTGAGAGCCACTGTAAGAGGCCTTGTCTCCTTTTGAAAGGTGAACTAGGTTTCCATGATCCTTTTGAATGCTGAATTGTTATGTATATATAAGACAGCCATCAATAGATGATTTAATACAAGGGGACATCAGGATAGTTTTGGAAGGTGGAACTGAGGCTTTAACCAGTCAGCAATATTCTTATTGAATGGTGGAGCAGAATCAAGAGGTCAAACAGCTTTCTCCCAATCCTCAATACTCTGTTTCTACGTCCCATGAGGAGATTGTTGTATAAGGGAAAATTGAGTAGTTGACTGGACCAGCCCTCAATTCAATCAAGATTAGAAGAATGGAAGGAAATATGAAAAGTTTGTAATTACTGACAAAATAGAAAAAACATTTCCCTGGATGTGGAAGTTTAAGACTTCAGGGGATGTTTGTTTGGGGGCATGTTGGGGGGCATGCGGTTAGCGACAATCCCATAATAAAGGAGTGACCATTTAGTGCAGAGATGAACAATTTCTTCAAGCAAAGGTTTGTGGAATTCAATCTACCAGTGAGCTGGGGACAGTTGCTGAATAAATTTAAGACAAATGCCAAAAGATTTTTGAGTAAGAAGGGAATTAAAGGATATAGGGACATTGGAGCTGAGGGAGAAGATCAGCTATGAAAATATTGAATGGCAGAGCAGGCTTGACAGACTGAATGGCCTATTCCTGCGCTTGTTCCTTATTAGTCCTCAGTGTGCATGTGAGTTCAATATTTCCTGAAAAAACACAAAGGCACAAGACCACAAACCCTGCCCCTAAACAAATCAGAACTTAGAACTAAATTTAGGCACATAGATATATTCTAAGCATTAATCAATACAATTGGTGTTATTTAACAGTTGAACTTCAAAGGGGACAGCAATTTTGCAAAACAAATAACAAAGAAAGACAAGAGAGTCCAGAGTTTTGGAGCAGTCAAGACAGTGAAGATGAGACCAGAAACCAATTGGCCATGATTTTATCGTATGGCAGAGTTAATTGAAGGGCTAAGTGGTCTGCCATGCTCTAAAGTCCTATGTTGCTACATTACAGATATATTCAGTGATTTACTGTAAATCAGTACTAATGGATTCTGAACATTAATGACAAGCACCAGAGTAGGAGCTTAACAATTGGTGATCTTACTTAGAGTCATGAAGTCATACAGCACGGAAACAAACCCTTTGGTACAACCAGTGCATGCAGATCATAATCCCAAACTAAACTAGTCCCACCTGCCTGCGCTTGGCCTGTATCCCTCCAAACATTTCTTATTCATGTACTTATCTAAATGTCTTTTAAACATTGTAACTGTACCCGCATCCGTTGCTTCCTATGGAGATTCATTTCACACAAGAATCACATCACTCTCTGTAAAAAAATTGCCCCTCGTGTCTTTTTTAAATCTTTCTCTTCTCACCTTAAAAATATGCCCCCTAGTCTTGAATTCCCCCTCCCTAGGGAAAAGATACCTGCCATTCACCTTATTTATACCCCTAATCATTTTATAAACCTCTATAAGGTCACCCCTCAACCTCCTACACTCCAGTGAAAAAAGTCCCAGCCTGTCCTTATAACTGAAACCCTCCATTCCCAGCAACATCCTGACAAATCTTCTGAACCCTTTCCAGTTTAATAATATCCTTCTTCTAACAGGGAGACCAGAACTGGACACAATACTGAAGAACAGTATTTCCTCTGATATTCAACAGCTTTAAGCAGTCTGAAAACAAATAGCAGATTTGTTTACAGATGTGATTATCAACATTGAGAGCTCACGTGCCCTTGAGTGACAGAACAGATCTTCCCCTGTCAACATGAGTTGCAGTTTCGGGCTGTTATCAGTTTATTGTCCATCTTCAGTTCCATACAGTTTTGAAGTGGATTTAAATTTAAAATAGGATTTACAGGCATGACGGTCTATTTACACATGAATGAAAGATGCTATCCGGTGCACAGTAACATCAGAAATAAACCCCCACTGTCAGGATGAAGGGTCACTCCTGGACACGATTCACAGCAGCACCATTAGCAGAATCCATTGCTGCTGTCACTAGTGAATCTGCTGGTGTCTCAGCAAGTGTGAGAAGGTCGTGAATCCCTTCCCACCCTTCATGAATAACTGCATTCATGTATAATGAGCTGATCTGACTGCCTGAAGAAGGTCCCACTGTGAGAACAACCAAACAGTCTCTCACCAGTGTGAAATCATTCATGGGACATCAGACACCCAGAAATTCTAATGCATTTCTCGCAGTCCGTGTGGACCAGTTGTCAACAGATGGGCTAACTGAGTGAATCTCTTCCCACACGAGGAAGAATGGCCTCTTTCCAGTGTGAACTCCCTGGTGTCAAATAAGGTCAGATCACCACCTGAACACAGTGCCACTTTCAGGTCATCTGAACAGTTTCTCATCATTGTGAACATGCTGATGACACTGCAGTTCCTCAGACCCTTTGAAACACTTTTCACTCCAGACATTTAAAATACTTCCTGCCAGCTTGAACTTGCTAATGTTCTAGCAGTTGGAATGATGCCCCGAACCTTTTCTTACACCTGGAACATCTGAATGGTGCATACTTGGTGTGAATATAAAAGTGCTCTCTCAGTACATTCAGACTTTTAAGAGTTCTTTTTACTAAAATCTTTCTCTCCTAATTGAGAAGATCTACCAGTCCTGTACTAGATGAGACTCTGGCCTTTAGAGTGCTGAGAATGAGATGAACTTGGGGGCAAAATGGATACAAATGTAAGAATAAGGAATAGGAGTCGGCTACTCAGCACTTCGAGCCTCCTCAACCATTCCTGCATGCCCCCTGATAATCTTTCATCTCTTTGGTAATCAAGAATCTATCTATCCCTGCCTTAAAAATCTTTAAAGATCATGCATCCACTGCCTTTTGAGGAAGGGAATTCCGAACATACTCAATCGTCTGAGAAAAAGAAACGTTTCCTCTTCTCTGTCTTAAATGGGAGACCCTTATTTTTAAATTTAGACCCCTGGTTCTAGATTCTCCCACGAGACTAAACATGCCTTCAAAATCCACCTAGACAAGCCTCCTTAGACTCATATCAAAACATAGAAGATAGTGCCACAACGTTGTCACCTGAAGGTTGCAGGAACAGCACCTCATATTTAGCTTGGGAACCCTGCAGCCCAATGGTATCAATGTGGACTTCACAAGCTTCAAAATCTCCCCTCCCCCTACCGCATCCCAAAACCAGCCCAGCTTGTCCCTGCCTCCCTAACCTGTCCTTCCTCCCACCTGTCCCCTCATCCCACCTCAAGCCCCACCCCCATCTCCTACCTACTAGCCTCATCCTGCCCCCTTG